CGGGGGAGGGGAGGGGGGGGGGTTGAGTCTCAAATCGGTGAGATGAGGAAGAATTGGTCCATCTCATGAGCTAGCTTTTGGAGTTGAATGAGGCTCAAAGTTCATTTTTTGTATGCGTGATTTTCTAGGTTATATCATGGTTGCTGTGAAAAGTTGTGTTGTTGTAGGTCAACTTAACCAAATAGTGTAAAAAATCTATACATATCCGTACATAGAAATTAAATTCTACATGGATTATGTTTTCTCAGTTAGGTGTACGTGTAGGCCTATAAATCTAAAAAAAAAATCTGGATTTTGTAATAATCTTGATATCGGTCTCAGCAAAGAAGGAAAAAAGGCTGAATTTTTTTTATAGTAGAATACTTGGCCCTTTACACTGTAAAGAAAAAGGAAAGAATGTTAACATGTATTTGATGCTGAGTCTTTGAAGATAATATATAGTTCTTTAGCTGTCCATTTTTGGGCACCATGCTAGTATTGAATAATGGTATCTGGTTCTGTTTTGCATTGTTTTGTTGTTGCTGCTGTTCTTTTTCTCAGGATGCTCTGAACTGTGGCTCTTATTAGTTGGCGTGTCTGTTTTACTGTCATATTTCCTTTTTCATAACTGTTTTGATTGTTGTTGTTGAGCCTAGGGTTGTTCGGAAATAGCCTCTCTACCTCATGAGGTAGGGGTTTGCGTACACTCTACCCTATCCAAACCTTACTTGTGGGATTACACTGGATATGTTGTTGTCGGTATATGCCGATTGTATGTCTATTGGAATTGTTCTGAACTGCTGTCTCTAGCTGGTAAAGAAACCGATCAATTCTAGTTCTACCTTCAGTAGTAGTAGTAGTCGGATTTTCTAAGAAGCAGTAGTGCAATTGTCATATTGTTGCTTCATAGATTGGTTGTAAGTGTTTGTTTCCTGTCCAGCCTTCCTGCCAAGTTGACGAAAGCCACAGATCTTCCCACATTTGCTTCGGGAAGTCATAGTCCACACAAGAAGCGAGAAAAAGAGATGAAAAATGATGCTCCTGTATTCTATCGACAAAGTCCATTATCACGTGAAGGTACTGTTATTGGTGATGATTTAAGATCTATGTCTGAATCCGATGAACGAGATATAGGAGGGCATCTAAAGAAGAGCGGAGAAAACATGGAAGATTCGAGTAGTGAATATCAATTTCATTTCTCCATATACAAGTGGGCAGGCAAAGGAGTTCCTATGCTTGTGTCACTGAAGGGAGGGAAACATTTCAAGTCTAAAGAGAAGATAAAATTTGAAAAATGTCCTAGCTCCAATGCAAGGATGGAGAAAGACAACACGGATACCAGCTCGCCATTAGGTAGAAACGTCAACTTCTCCAGGGATGCAAATTTTCACTCCTTAAGTACGAGAAGTAAGAAACCTGAGAGCAGTGACAAGGCAAATGGTATTGTTGGGGAAACTCTCGGCATTCCAAAGTCAAAATCTGTTCAGAGTTTTAAAGATGATGTTGGAATCCAGATAGAAATTACAAAGAACTCGGAAGAAACCAAGAAACAAGAGCTGAAGCCTCTACGTGCATTTTTAGTTGATGTGGCTGATGAAAAAGGTACTTTCTAATTTGCAACCTGCAAACTACAGACACTTGTACTTGCTTTACATAAAAAAAATGTCTCTTATTGTTTTGCAGGCGACATTAAGATGGCACAAGAAACAGAAAGGAAGAGTAACACAGTCAAAGCTACGCAAGCAGCAAAAACAAATGTTAAAGTAAAGGAAAATGTGAAGAAAATTGATGATGAGGCTGATAAGAAGTTGAAGAAAGATGATGTTGAAGTTAGCGAAAACACACAAAAAAGAGATTCACAAGCTAAGAGAAAAGGGAAGAGAGGTTCTGATAAAAAAACTGTAGTAGATACAGGAGAAAACAGAAGTAGTCAGCCAAGTTCTCCCATAAGATCAGCCGAGAATTCTACTAAAGCTGGAATTAAAGGAAAGGTTCAAGACTTTGTAAAGATGTTCAACCACGAGGTTCATTCAACTCCCCAAGAAGGCGATAGTAGAAGTAAAAGCTTTAAATGGAAAGCTAGCAGCAATAGTGGAGTTGAAAGTGAAAAGAGTTATAGCATGCCAAAAGCAAATGAGAAAGTTCAGTTGCCCACGATTAACAAGACGCAAGATGCAGCCCCTAATGTACCAAACTCCTCCTTAGTACACCTATGATTTCTAAAATCTTCCTTTATTGGATTAGACTTTCATTTTGAGGTCCCAACTTATGGAGGCACGGGGACAGTAGGTTCATCGTTGCCCTATTGGTAGTGATCTGTAAAATTTCTGATTCCGTGTCTTGCTTTGTGCAGGTAGACAAAAATCTTAACAAGCAGGAGAAAACAACTAAATATTCCCAAAGGAAAACAGAGATTCCTCGGACTAAAGACTATTCAGATCAAAAGGCCGCTCCATCAATTAATGGTAAGTTATACTCCCTCCGTTTCAATTTGTTTGTCTAGTTTTGACTTGGCATAGAGTTTAAGAAAGTAAAGAAGATGTTTGAATCTTGTGGTTATAAACTAAAGATATATAGAATGTACCAAAATACCCTTTCATCATGTGGTCTTAAACATGTCATATGTAAAATTAGAATTAAAGAGTTGCCAAAAAAGGAAAGAGACATGCTTTATCAAACAGACAAAAAGGAAAGTAAGACAAACGAATTGAAACGGAGGGAATATTTATTTTGTCGAAACAAGAATCCCGACCCACTGAATGATGAACTTTGTTTCAGTTTCTTTACTTATATTGAACCTGCTTCTACCTTGGTTGAGACATGAGAATGTCCGATCCTATTCTCTTCTGAAAAATATATTGCTAAAGAGAAAAGTTGGTAAATCATTTCAGGTTAACTATAAGCAGCTAACTCTTCATTATTGTTCTCAATTTAGTTAAATTAGTCTTTTTCTTTCAATTTCAATAGTTCATTTCCACAGTATCCTTGCACATGTTACAGAACCGTTGGTACTGGCAGCATCACCGCTTGCAGTTCTAGTCCTTAAATCAATTCCACATTTCTATGTTTATTTCAGAGTCAAGACGAGATGATCGAAAAGTCTCAGTTGGAAGCATGGATGATCTCTTTGGTGGAAATTATGTGGTATGTATACTTCTCTAAGTTTCATTAATTGACTGTTTGTGAGAATTTATGTATCTGGCATTGAAATTTTATGCCATAACCAAAAAATAATAATAATTCTAGGATTAGAAGAGGGAAATGATATTAGAGAAAACTGAAGAATCCAATTTTAGAGTCTGCAACTTGTACAGTTTGATGCCTTAGTAGGTCACAGGCCATATGACTTCAGATCGTTGCAACTAACGTTTACGATGATCAAACAGGATAGCATACTTGTGGAATGCCTCGTAAAATTGATACTGATGAGATAGTTTACCTTTTCGCAGGTGGAAGAATTATTTGAAGATCAGGACACAGCTTCACAAACTAATGGAAAATCTGAGGACAGCCAAGTAACTTATTTCTTTTTTCTCAGTAACTCTGTTGCATTCGAGCATCCATAACATGGTTGTAATCATTTTCTATGAACTTATAGGCTTCAGATGCTAAAATTAAGCAATGGTCACAAGGGAGGAAAGGAAATATTCGTTCATTGCTCTCAACATTACAATTAGTAAGAGTGTTTCCACTTTTACTTAATTCCAGTAGCTTATGTTGAGGATTCAGTTGATGATGATAATTTGAAGTTTTATGAAATTTGTTTCTATTATTATATTTGTGGAAAGGAACTTGACTTTGCTTAAGGCCGGGATTCGCTAATTCTTAAAGCACAATCATTTTTAAACAGGTTTTATGGCCCGAGAGCGGATGGAAGCCTGTGGCCTTAATGGATTTAATGGAAGGAAATCAAGTGAAGAGAGCATATCAGAGAGCGTTACTCTACATACATCCAGATAAGCTCCAACAAAAGGGAGCTGCTGCTCACCAGAAATACATTGCAGAAAAAGTTTTTGATATTCTGCAGGTACCTTATAATTTTGTCAAGTAGTACTTTTTCCACAGCCAAAAGTCCTAGCATCTGCACTAGATACGAAAACAAACATTTAACTAGAGCGGCCTATTAACTCTCTTATCCCATCTGTTATCGTAATTCATAGTTCGATCAATCAACTAACTCTCAATCCCAAACAAATTGGGGTCGGCAACTGTACGTCATAGTGCTTCAATTTAAACCATGAAGAGGGGTTATCGGTGAGGCTTAAATTCAGTTTATGGTAAAATTTAGGATCCAGTGGTTACTGGTTTGAGAAGCCAAGTATAACAACGTTATTATCATGTGAATGTAACTGAAGTATTTCCTCTTGAGACATGTTTGTGTAGCATACGAACCCTACACGAAACCATTATGCAAATGAAGTTTGCAGAAAATCATGCAAGTTTAAACATATGAGTCAATGCTTGTTCTATACATCATAATTCTACTACTACTCCCTCCGTTTCAATACTGTTTATCCGGTTTTGATTTGGCACGGAGTTTAAGAAAGTAAAGAAGACTTTTTGAATGTTGTGATCTTAAATTAAAGATGGATAGAATGTACCAAAATGTTCTTTAATCTAGTGGTCTCAAACATGTCACGTGGAAAGCTAGAATTAAAGAGTTGCCAAAAAAAGAAAAAGACATTCTCTGAAAAAAGGGAAATTAAGACAAACAAATTAAAACGGAGGGAGTATTACTTTGCCATGCTACTAAATTGCCCCATGTTTCATGAGACTAAATCCTTTTGCTTAGATTGTTGAATCATAAAAGTGCTAAGTATGTTTGGTGCAGGAAGCTTGGGATCATTTCAACTTACTTGCTCCTATGTAACACTCACATATGCAATGTGGTATCCGAGGAGGCGCGGAAACGAAAAAACTCTATTCATCTGTGTACATACCAGGCAAATATGTCATACATATCCACTCCATACAACATACCAAAATCTGGTTTTTCTATACTTAAACATAGAAGACAGACTTTTATCAAAGTTCATATATTCTTTTTTCTACAGCAGAGTTATGAGTTAGTGGTAGTTGTTACAACATCTGATAGTAGGCAGCAGGAAGCTGGCCTTATTATACAAAACTGCCCTTCCATATAGGTCGTCATGGCATGAACTTTGTCAATTGCTTGTGATTGCAACCATACCCCGAAAAGGGGAAGGGTGGATGTAATTCCGAAGTCTACTCCTGAAGTTAAGTCTTTCAGTACTACGATTGAAGTAAAGCACTTTCGAAATGCTCTTTTCCCACAGCCCTCCTTTCGACTTAAATAGAAAGATTCCAATGGGAACTGTGAATTTAGTTGGATTATAAATCATTTTCTGAAACATCCACCCAACTCTGAATCTTCATAGGGGTTAGGCTACGTACACACCACCCTCCCCAGACCCCACTTGTGGAACTACATTGAGTCTATTGATGTTGTTGTTAGATACATTGACACTGTAAAAGTTTTTCACACAATCAGGTCACTTGAAAGATAACTACAAATAAACGTCCACGAAAACTGGATCACTAAAAAGTTGGTGTTTGTCTACTTGATACTCCTATAACAGATTTTAATGTTGGTTTTAAAAACAAGAGACACAAGCAGCTGTACTTCTTCATGAAAAAGCTGTCAATCTTGTAAAATGTGCATGATGAAATTGACTTGCATTATTGTAGTAGAGCAAGAACTAGTACTTGCAATAAACTAATCCTTAATGGTACATAAATATTTAAGTTTCCAAAGATCCATGCCCTTTTGGAATTGGCTACTATACAGGTCCCCTACCCCCACTCCAAGTCCTACTCCAATAAAATAAAATAATGTTTTGAGTGAAATATTGAAAAAACAAGATTTGGGACCCCTTGTTGTGACCTAAATAGGATAAGCCTAAATAACTAGTAGTAGAAAATTCAAATCCTTAAACAATCAACTTCATAGTTGCCTCCCACTAATGTCATAGAGTATCATATTCTAAAGTCATAAAGTCTATGTTGTAAAAGTGACTCAATGAATATAGGTTCTACTTTCTAGAGGCAAATATGGACAAATTCAGAATTTAAAAGATTCTAAATTCTGAAAAATATATATTTGATGGCAAGGAATTGAGTTTTGATGAATCAACAACCATGATATAATATTCATAATTTAAGGAATAATTATTGCTCAATGTTTTGGGTGGTTTAGCTTACAAAATATATACGAAGTTTATTGGTTGTGTATATTCTATATTAAATATATTGTACTATACATATAGTATGCATATCTATACACAATATATATATTAATATATACACTATTAAATCATATTGATAAACTAGTCGACCGAACAATATAGTAATTGTCTATACATACTCACTTATCCTATTGGTTTTGGTCCTCCATGTGACTTACAAAGTTTAAAGTCAACTTGTTAATGATAGGGAATTCAAAGCAAACACTAATCTTCTATTACTTTCTTTCTTTTTTGGAGAAACTGAAAATGTTAGTTAAGTGTACAATTTGAACTCATTTTTAGCTTAAACATGTTCTTTTCTTGAATATTTTGAGCAGAAAGCAGCAACATAAGTGTAGAATTTTTTTTATTTTCCTTTTGTTTTATCAAAAAATCAATTTGTGAGAAAAATGTTGTAAATTTCTAAAATTGACCTGGTGTGATAGAGTGAGTAACCTTGTCACTGTCTTTACAATTTGTTATCTAAAATGTGACTAACAAAATAATTTGTTTTTTTTAAATAAAAAAAGTGAAAAGTATTTCTTAGCTCAATAAATTAAGGGTCGTGGTGATATGAATAAAAAAATTACATTATTAATCAGATATTTTGAGTTAAGCTCCAAATATAAGAAAAAATATCTTGGTGGGGAAGCTTTTTAAGTTTATATATCACAAATTTAAATTAATCAAATTTAAATATGAGTATCGATCGATCCAAGGAAAACAAAAGAAAAATAATGTAAGTAGGGACTGGTTGGTAGAAGAGGCCAAATGACCCTGGTCTCTATGGCCAACCTGCCTTCTTCTAAGGATACACATACGAGATGGCACGTTGCTGAGCTATTATATTATTTAATATCTTAGGGCTTAGACAATAGGAACTTTAGGACCATATTGTATATGTTAAAAGAAATAATCCTGGTGTTTAATATTGCAATTCGATTAATTTAGATTTACACTGAAATTTTTTACTTTAAAGGTAAAGCGATTTAGGCGACTCCATATTAAGAACTCGAAATCAAGATTTGAGGTTCGAATTTTAAATAGAAAACGCTTGACATTTTAAAGTGTAACTTTTTAGCACGATTACAGATTAGTCGGACTTTAAAAGTGGAAAAAGAAAAAGGGTGGACTAAAATTTTGCCATATGTGGGGCACGTGGTAATCCCAATGTGCTATCATTGTATTTAGAGTTTAATGTAGTTATTTTCTCAAATACTTTTTAAGGTCATCATAACATATTAGATTGTCGTTTGACTCTAAAATAATTTAGATGATGGTCTAATATTTTTTTATATTTTTAGTTTGTTTGAAAAGAATTTTTAGATCATGATCTAAAATGTTCATAAGTTACAATTTTTTTCTTACTAAATAACTATATTAAAAAAAAAAGTTTTACAAAATTAATTTAGGAACAACTAATGTTATGTCCGTAAATATAAGGGCATGTTTGAGCTAATTTGGTAAAGCACAATGATGGATTTAATCCTAACTATTAACTAATGATAATATTTAAACCATTTCGCATAAGTTTAGTGACAAATTTGAATCTTTACCCTATAAAATTAAAACTTGCTTGAAGGATTAAAATGGATCATAATATATTGTTTTCTTTCTTCTTTTTTTTTTTTTTAATGTAGAATAAATTATGCCATCTTTTTTTTTTCTTTGCAAAAATTTTCCACATGTTTTCTCATTAAATTTGGGTCAATTTAGCTTGTCATTTACTCCATTGTAACTTTTCTTGTCTGATTTTAAACTTTATTCCAAGAGCTTTAAAGATGCACAGTAAAGGAATAAAAATATAGACAAACACTTTAGAGCTTTTAAAGACCACAGAAGAGCATTTTTGGTCCTTCACTTATTGATAAATTTTGATTTCAATTCCAATAATATACGAATTAATATATTTAATTTTCAATTAATTAACATATATGTATTTGATCTCTTCATACATGAAATATATTATATTGGGTTGATTTTCAAACCAGGTAACATCCATATATACCTATTTTCTTTTTATAATGAGACCAAAACATGTTATGCTGTCGGATAATTAGGGGTCGTTTGGTAGAGTGTATAAGAATAATATAAAATATAGTGTATTAGTAATTCTTGCATTAATAATAGATTTAGGCGACTCCATATTAAGAACTCGAAATCAAGATTTGAGGTTCGAATTTTAAATAGAAAACGCTTGACATTTTAAAGTGTAACTTTTTAGCACGATTACAGATTAGTCGGACTTTAAAAGTGGAAAAAGAAAAAGGGTGGACTAAAATTTTGCCATATGTGGGGCACGTGGTAATCCCAATGTGCTATCATTGTATTTAGAGTTTAATGTAGTTATTTTCTCAAATACTTTTTAAGGTCATCATAACATATTAGATTGTCGTTTGACTCTAAAATAATTTAGATGATGGTCTAATATTTTTTTATATTTTTAGTTTGTTTGAAAAGAATTTTTAGATCATGATCTAAAATGTTCATAAGTTACAATTTTTTTCTTACTAAATAACTATATTAAAAAAAAAAGTTTTACAAAATTAATTTAGGAACAACTAATGTTATGTCCGTAAATATAAGGGCATGTTTGAGCTAATTTGGTAAAGCACAATGATGGATTTAATCCTAACTATTAACTAATGATAATATTTAAACCATTTCGCATAAGTTTAGTGACAAATTTGAATCTTTACCCTATAAAATTAAAACTTGCTTGAAGGATTAAAATGGATCATAATATATTGTTTTCTTTCTTCTTTTTTTTTTTTTTAATGTAGAATAAATTATGCCATCTTTTTTTTTTCTTTGCAAAAATTTTCCACATGTTTTCTCATTAAATTTGGGTCAATTTAGCTTGTCATTTACTCCATTGTAACTTTTCTTGTCTGATTTTAAACTTTATTCCAAGAGCTTTAAAGATGCACAGTAAAGGAATAAAAATATAGACAAACACTTTAGAGCTTTTAAAGACCACAGAAGAGCATTTTTGGTCCTTCACTTATTGATAAATTTTGATTTCAATTCCAATAATATACGAATTAATATATTTAATTTTCAATTAATTAACATATATGTATTTGATCTCTTCATACATGAAATATATTATATTGGGTTGATTTTCAAACCAGGTAACATCCATATATACCTATTTTCTTTTTATAATGAGACCAAAACATGTTATGCTGTCGGATAATTAGGGGTCGTTTGGTAGAGTGTATAAGAATAATATAAAATATAGTGTATTAGTAATTCTTGCATTAATAATACTTGTATTAGTTATGCTTGCATTAGTTATGATGAGATTTTTTAATGCAATGTTTGGTTTGGTGTACTAAAAATATTATGCATTACATAATTTTTTTAGAAAAAATATTTGTTTACAAAAGTACCCTCCACAAATATAGTGGAAATGATGTAAAAAAAGTTTTTGAGGGCAATTGTGTCTATAATAATGTTAATGCATGCATTAGAACCCATTGCATTACTAATGCATAGAAATGAATGGCATTAGTAATACACTCTTCAATACACAATAGAGTGTATTACTAATACAAGCATTAGTTATGCATAAGTTAGAAAAATGTACCAAACAAGATACTACTAATACATCAAGCTAATGCAAGCATTATTTTCTGTAATACACTCTATCAAATATTTCACCAACCCAAACTAATGTGAAGTAAGTCTACACTCTAAAAGTGATGAAAAAATGAATGATCGTAATCATAATATAATATAAAAAAGTCTCTAAAAGAAAGAAAAATCTAGCCGATCTTCAAGTATATTATTATCAAATATTCCTCCCATTCATTTTTACTTGTTCACTATGTTATTTTGGGATATCAAACAATAATTGTCTAGTTTATAAAATTAATGAATAATTTATCACTTTATATCTGTTTTACCCTTGCTATTACATACAGTTCATTTTTCAACATTTAGATGACTTATATTTAATAAGTGTGATTTGGTAAAATTATCTCTATCATTTACTGCTTCTTAATTACTGTCTCAAGTCAATAGTGAACAACTATTATTAGACATCGGAGTATAAACTAAGAGAAATAATTATTAATTTAGAAATTTTGTGAATATCCACAAGTTTTTTTTTTTTTAATGAATATCCACAAGTTAAGGAATTAAAATTGAACTTTTTAAGTTATTGAAGATTAAATGTACTTAATCAGATATTACAAGGATTAAAATTAAATTTTATCAATAATCAAAGGACTAAAAATGTTATTAATCCCAATAAAAATTAAGGAATGAGAGACAGAGTGTGTGTCTCTGTATTTTCTTTCTTTTGTCAGTTTCTGCTTAGCTTCTGAAATTTAGGGTCCCTTCAAATTCCTCTCTCTGTTTTTCAGTTCTTTTACTTATATTAAACCAAAGCAGAATTTTACTTTATTCTGAAAAATCTTAGCTTTTTTCACTGTTAATCTTTTCAGAAAAACATGAATGTGTGTGAAATACTCATGAAGAGACACAACTAGGGATGTTCTGTTTGTTTGTTTTTTCACCATTTGCATTATAGTTTTGTGTGTGTGTATGGTCAAGAAAAGCTTAAAGGTGGAGTCTTTGGTATCTCTTCTAATGGAAAATTGTAAGTCTTTCATTTAAAATTTTCATCTTCTTTTTTTTATATTAGAAATGTTTTTCATTCAGAGGTAGATGCAGGTTTAAGTTATCGGGTTTATCTGAACTCAGTACTTTTGATACGTTCGTTAAAATTATGATAAATAGTAGAGATTGTTGTTATTCTTAAAGATTGAATCTTTGTAGAGTTCAAATCCTGGATCCCCATATGAGTTTCTTGATGTTTATTCAAATGCTGTGGCTTTTGATATTTATTATTGTGCAAAGTTCGAATTTTTCTTAAATTTTTGTGGTTGAGTTCTGTCCACATTTGAAATTTTGTGAACCTGCTATTTCTTGTTCAAGATTTGGTTGAATCTTTTTGTTCACTGCAAAAGTTTCAATCTTGCTGTAAGATCTGATATAATACTGGTCTTTTTACATGTTGAAGCTGTGATTCTGTCATTATTTCTTCTTTTTCTTCTTCTGAGTTCCAGTTTTATTTTCTTTTTGCATTTTTGTTTCCTACATGAATTTTATTGGCCTTTTCTTTAGAAAGCAGCATTTCAGAACTGGGATTTGTATGAATATTTGGAGGAATAAAGTTTACTGTACATGTTTGAATCTAGTCATAGTTGCGCGGTGAGGATTTTCACTAAGGAGGTTCGGAATAGATTCTCAGTTGTGTCAAGGTGGTTCAATATGCAATATATACACATAAATATCAGATTTGATCTTACATATACAACGTACTTCTCCGACGAGAGGGATTTGGATGAACCCCTTCCACCACCTGGCTCCACTCCTAATGATAAGAGTCACATAATAGCTCTTTTTTTATTTGAAGGAATAGTGAACTGTTTGTTTCTTTGCTATGTGGTGATTACTTGTCCAAAAAAGACAGAAGTTTAATTTATTTTAATTTATGTTATTTTGGGGATATTTATAATTTATGGGATCTGCTTACTTCATAGCTTTTCATTTGACTTTTGAACTATCAATCCCTTCTTCTCTCTGCATTTCCAAATGTGGGAGTTATTAATCATATCAATATCTTCAATAATTATGTAAGAGAACACTTTGGTCAAACTACTTTCTGAGTTCCTTTTTAGAACAGTCATTTTTTTCCTTTCCCTTTTTTGACCTATGTTGCTTGGACTTTCCAAAAATGTTGCCTCACCCGTATCAGATCTCCGCAAAAGCACACGCACCCACACACCCGTTGATTTTTTTGAAGAGTCCAAGCAACATAGATTTTTGACCTAGTTTTGGACTAGAAAATCATCAGAATGAGGATTAGGAGATTATCTAAGTATACAGTTTGAAACCAGTACATCGGCAAAGATGAAGAAGTGTCAACTCCATTTAATGCTTTTCAACTTAGGTAGAAATTGACATTATATAGTTAAAGATAATAATCAATGTGTCTTCTTGTTTTTGTTTTGTTTGAGGGACGCTTGTTATGGTTAATAGTTAATGAATAATCTGTCTGATCTATGCTTGTACACAATTAGATTGTCTATATCAGTACAAGGCCGTCTGGTTGCATTAGTTATACAGGGCTTAATTTAACGTTTAAGTATTCATGTATTAGTAGTCATTGTATTGTCTATCTTCTATCTCGCATAAAATTGACTCATAACTTATACTTGTTTTAATAACCAAACACCATATTTGGTGTGCTAATTTTTATACAAAGCAACTAAAAAGCTACCAAACATGATATTGTATTAGTTATGCTAGTTTTAATACATGAATAATTCCCTTCCTAATCAACAACCAAACAACCCTGTTGTGTATTAGCAAATATCTATTAAATGAGCTAATTAAAATTGAACTTCCAATTCTGCTTTTGAATTAAAGTATGTAGATGTAAGAAAGAGCTGCAATAATGGATGCAGACTACTGAGGATTACATACTAGAGTTAGTTGTTTCCTACTTATGCCACAAAGTTGACTTTCTTGGAAATGAAAGAGATGGATATATTCTTTCTTTTCTTTAACTTCCCTCTCTCCTCTCTCTCCCAACTGAAGATTCCTTCTGACATAATCTTTTATGGGAAGTTCCTCACAACTGTTCTATGTTCACTTAACTTGGTTTGTTTAAATATTCATTTGTTAATTGAACAATTCAAACTTTGAGAAGTCATAGTAGGGCCTTGTCGCAATGGCCGGTGATTAAAATGGAAGGTGGCAACAGCTATATATTTATATATTATCCTAAAAGGATCAAGCTGTATCATAGAATAGCTAGCATGACTAGTAAAAGCAGGCTGTTAGCTAAATATTTTCCAATGTAATACACAAAAAGAGTCTGAAATTGTGTGATATGTCTGTTTTAAGGAATTAAAAGTGCATGGACAAAGGGTTGTAATGTGCTACGTCAAGTGCAATGGTTGTAATGCTCTGATGTGAAGTTGGATGGAGAACATTTGGTACGAAAGATTTGGTAATAAGTTATAATGCACATAATTCATGGCATGCCAATAAAAAAAAGTTGGTTTTTGGATGGATGATATGTAGTCAGATAGAGCAAGCACATTGTAGTTTGTTACCAGCATGTTGTTCTTCCCTCTGGTTTCATATATAATGCATTAGATCTCTCAGAAGACAGCTTCCAGGTTAGCAAACAGTATGTGCCATATTATACGTGGTCTTGGTCAATTATGTAACATTTCATGTTTCCCTCTAAATCTTTTTATAGAAACCCAGTGATTTTGTTTAGCAAAGTAGTTTAAATAAGGAAATTTCTTGAAAGCACAAGGCTAATGTTTTCATCAAATGGGTTGGTCTTGTTTTTGTACTGGTGTACTGGCACACATGAAAAAAACTAGTTTTTGTACTTATCATTATCATATGGTTACTAGTTCTAATTTGAGACGAACTTGTATATGATCCAAATCTGTATGTCAACTTGATTTATGGAGGTGACGAAACTAGAATGATATGCTCTTTTAGATGGAAAACATGCCCTAGTGATTTATCCTTTTGCTTTGCCGTTCTCATACTTAACTGATATCATTGGTTGATACATAGAAACATTGCATGATTGAACTTCATCTGCTGCAAGTTTCTATTAAATCGTTGGAATTGTATTGTGAGAAAACAGCTATGATTATTTATCTTGGTACAAGATTCTTTCATTGGTACATTACTAATTTTCTCTTTGCATTTTTTCTTTTCTTGTTCTGAAGACTGACTTCTTAAACTTTATTATGAAGCCTTATGCATTTCTGTTAATGCAGATGTACAAGACGCCGGTGGGCTTTGAGTGAATCTTATTTTGCATAGTAAAAGGAAAATGTCATTAAAATCAAAGAAAGGATGGAAATCAGGCATGCCTCTCCGTCTGAAGACCAAATCATCAGCACATTTTTGTTTGCTCCCCAAAACGAAGTCGGATCGTTTTGCTCCTGGTGAGACACCAGTTTGTCTCAATGTGTATGACTTGACACCAATGAACAACTATGTCTACTGGGCTGGTTTTGGCATCTTCCATTCTGGTGTGGAAGGTAAGAGATATTATTTAAGTGTGCACCTAGGGAAATTATCCTTTCCTTGTAAATATATGGTTCTATATGGATTTTTTTCCTATTTTAAACCTCGATTTTACTAATTGATTAATGAGAGAATTGCATCTACAAGATGATATGTACCACATTATCATATGTTTGTCTGTCGTATATTTCATTTAGCTTTAATGAGATTAAAAATGTTTGTGATGTTTAAATTCAGGATCTGAAACTTGCCTCTAGGGTATATCATGTAACGAAGACAACAACTTACCATTGTAATCTCACAAATGAGGTCTAGGGAGGATAGTGTGTATGCAGCCTTACCCCTACCTTATGAAGGTGAAGAGGTTGTTTCCGATAGACTCTCGACTCGAGTAAAGCAGATTCAAGAATACAAGTGAGTAAAACAAATATAGTAACGTAGAAGCCATGCGAAAAATAATTTAGAAGAGAACAAGTAGCAACAACAAAATGTACGATAACTGAAGCAAAGGAAACAACATGTAACAATAAAATCGAAGAATGAGACAGTAGGAGAGTAATAATATTGATAGGGGAACTAGATAATACTTGACTACCTACTAACCTTTTACCATAATCCTCGACCTCCATATCCTCCTATCTAGGGTCATGTCCTCGGTAAGTTGCAGGTGTGTCATGTATTGTCTAGGGTATATTCATGTAGTATACCCTAGAACTGTTTCATTCTCAGTTTGAATCTCTATATGATTGGTAAATATATGAGCATGCATTGGAGCTTATTCGCAACGTTTTCATGTCTAATAAATATTTGGTTTGCATCACAGTTTGTTTGTAGATTTCTACTTTTGACGTGTTATAGCATTTGACACCTCTCAGTTCATCTTTGAATGCTTCCTGAAGAAGATAATTATGCAGTTTTGGTTCTATAGATATCACCTCTTTTCATCTCGAGTGTTCACTTGGTACCTGCAATCTGTTTCTCATTGAAAAAAATGCAGTTTTTGCAAGTTCTTTGAGTCCAATGAAACCTCAAGGTTCTCCGAATATTCCACTAGCATGTGAAGCTTGAGATGAAAATGATTCTGTGCTACTGCTAAGAGAAGACACGTCTCTAACTCAAATCTTGGACGTGCCAGCAATTTTCTTCTATGCCTCATATTTTTGAACTTCAACTAATGTAACATTTACTTCACAGTTCATGGTGTAGAGTACGCATTTGGAGCTCATGATTACCCAACCAGTGGTGTCTTTGAAGTTGAACCGCGACAATGTCCAGGATTTAAGTTTAGGAAGTCAATATTTGTTGGAACTACAAAGCTGGATCCGAATCAGGTTAGAGAGTTCATTGAGCATCAAGCTGCTGCCTACAATGGTGACTCCTATCACTTGATCGTGAAGAACTGCAACCATTTTTGCAAGGATATATGCCACAAGCTGACCGGGAAAAAGATTCCAAAATGGGTGAACAGGCTTGCAAAATTAGGTAACCTTTGCCATTCCACCACTCTTTATTTTGCTGTGTCTTCAGTTAATATTGCCCAGAATGTGTTCTGGCTTTTAATTATCATCAATTTATGTGGTTCATAGAGCAATAAATCATATCTTTTGTTTCTTTCTATGCTTCACAACAAAAATCCATTTTCCCTCCATCTTGGCACTCAAGTCCTTACGTGCAGTATTAATTACAGATCAAAAGGTTCCATTTACCATTGATTCAGTTATAGTACACAAATTTGGTGGCTTCTCTTGCTCTATATGATATTATTGCATATGTCCGGCAAGTAATTAATCTCGAATTCCCATTTTAGAGATATAACTCTTCATTTTTAGAACGCTACTTTCCTGAAATAGAACATTTACATCTCTAAGTAAGTATATCTTTGTCCATATTTTGGTTTTCCTTCCACGGAAAGTATAGCTAAAAGCATTGTACAATTTTGTTTCCATAAGTTTGTTAACAGTATCTATGAGATTTATATGTCACTGGACCTAATCAGACCTTGAGAAAAGTTGTCTTGTATACTTGCGCAATCTCAAGCACATTATCTGCTTATGATGATGCTACTTGAGATGATATTCATAAATAAAAATGATAACTTCATATTGCCATTTAGCCAATGTGGATGAGTCTCACCTCCTGAATGTACAGGATATATGTTCCTTTTTGATGTCCTATTTGAAAAGAAAAAACAAAGATTGAGTGTTCATATTTTCTAGAAAAGCTTATTAACTACTACTCCTATTCCATTTCGTGTCGCATATTTTCCTTTTTAGTCTGTTCCCAATATGTTATCTATCTTTTTCCTTGGTTGTGGTGAAATTTTGTTTTATCTAGTGAGGAACAGTTTCACTCAACGTCAAATGATCAAAGCTAAAAGCTTTAGGCATCTAAGAATGACACATTTCTATTGAGAACTCTTTACCCCCCCCTAATGGCATGCTATTATAGCCATAAAAGCGTCATAGCTGGCCATAAGTTCCAAAAATACTTTACTTTGTGCCCTAATAAGCACCGCGGTATAAAACAAAATGGAAAAAGTATTGTTCATGATATGCTGCTTCTTCTTTTTTTTGTCTGCGTAGGTTCAGCATTCAACTGCATGTTACCTGAGGCTTTGAAAGTTGCTGCTGTCGAAGACGAACCAAATGGCCCAGAGTATGATAGTGAGAAGAGAAGGCTGAGAAGTGCTTTCAGTTGTTTTTCTTCGATTTCAACGAGACAACAGAAGCTATCTGCTGTCAAAGACGTACCAAATGGCCCAGAATATGATGGTGAGAAGAGAAGGCTGAGAAGTGCTTTCAGTTGTTTTTCTTCGATTTCAACGAGACAACAGAAGCTATCTACGTCTTCGTTATTTCTACAGTCACCCGTTAAAGGCTGCTTACCTTCGTTGGAGTTGAGAAAGTCTACCAAATGCTCTTCAAAGGAAAAGCAAACATAATGTACTCTCTTGTGATCACATTTTCCTTGATGAAAAAAAAATTGTGAAGGCTACCCCATATGGTATTTTGAGAAAACTATAGAATGATAGATTTACATTCTTTAAGAAGGTATACTATGTGTAATGTGGCATTGCCAGTATATACAATTTGTGTTCCTTGTTTGGTCCCTTGTACCTTGAGTAATTTTCTGCTTCGTTCATCGATTGATCACACGAGTATGCATCCACATAAAATAACAACCCACTTTCCACGCCGTTCTACTGAGAGATGCAACATGTTGAAAAAGTCTGATGATTTGGTGGGATGATATATTTGTATATTCCTCATCTCTGCAACATGAAAATGTCCAGTTTTCCAGTTTAAGTTGCTGTTACTTTTTACTGCAGAATACTACAATTGTTTCAACTGTAAGTCGTTAACATCTGTGTAGGCTGTTAGGCAATATGAGGGAGATCATGTATCTATCGTTGCTCATTTTTTTCGTAGAGAAAGATAAAGCTTACATTATCGCGTAATATTTTCTAGTTACCTTGGTGAAATGTGGCACTATAAATAGCTTGTTACTTTTGCACACCTTACCCACATAAGCTCACTTTTTTGTGTTATGAACTTTGGCATAATATATTGATCAAATTAGTTCATCATAGGGAGAAACGTAATAAAGATGTGATGCTAAGAATTACTGGACCAAATTTACAGAACAGGATGATAACATCAATGGCATCTCTGTCCTCTCTCTTTCGAATGACAATCTTCAACAGCATACAAAATATATCGATGGTATTGCATCTGCACAACACCCACCCAACAACCGTGTCTCCCTCCAGTGACAATCTTCAGTAGCATACAAGGCATACAGAAAAGAGACAGAGAAATAAACACTTCAAGATGTGAGAAATGATATTTGAGATAGTGTTGATGTGCCTCCAACATACTTGATTTCTGATCTTTGAATACATTTAGCCAAAAACAAAAAAAATGAACAAGAACCTTGAGTACTCCTGATAACCAAAAAGTAGGTGAAGAAGCGACTTCTATGTCTTAGCTCAGGAGCAATCGTCAAGGAAAATTAGTGGGGAGTCTATTCACATTCCGGAAGAGAGGGAAGACACTAACCTAATCTTGGGAGTTACATTCAACCCAGCCAGCAGCACTAGCTGCTACACTGAATTCACCTTTTTGGGTCTGTCAAAACGGAAGGTAAAATGAATAGGAAACAGAGATATTTGAGCATGTAACCACTGGCTGTGGCCAAAGAATGTTGTCCATAGGTCCATTTTCATTGATATAGACACAAAGAATGCTTCATCTGGATAAGCTATCTTCATATAACTTTTGCAAATAATAGAATCACAGAATGAATATACAGATGGCGAACCCGAATTACTGTTGACAAAACAAACCTGCAGGAACACCAAAGAGATTCTTCAGATAAACAAATGTCCAAAGATGTTTGTTAAAACATTGCCTAATTGTCATGTAACACATGATATACAACACATACAACCTCTCAAACTGGAAACCTGAACAACAAATGTCCACCCAGGATATCAACAAAGACAGAACACCCAAATTTTATTATTTTAGACAATAGAGGACAACCGCACTGTCATTATATTCAGAAACAACACAATTAGCATCACACTTGGATTAGATATCTTTTCAGTGCCCAGGCGATGAAATTATCAATCGTCTTTCTGATGGAAAACAGTAGGCATGCTATTATTACCATTGAGAGCAGCATGATATACTCGCTTCTCTGCCAAACCAATATCTGAAAGTAACAAATTACCCTGCAAGACCAGAGGAATGAGATCATCAATCCGCACACAAGTATACAGAGGATTGAAATTACCCTGTAATAAATTCACTTATTTACTTTACATGCCTAGGGAGAACACAAGGGGAGGTGAAAAGAATACTACTTTATAAAGATAAGCATCTGTTGTTTGCAGTGCAGAGATCATGATACTTAGCTCTTACTTTCAAGGAATACAAACATAAGAGCACAGGAATAATGGGAGACTCTCCAAATTGTGAAGGACCGGACTCCTATTTTCTAAAGACAATTTCAACATAAACTCAATAAGGGACATAGCTTGCCATGTCCAGATTGCAGAGAAATATATCCGCTTTCTACAAAACCACATCTTATGAGCAGGAAGCATTGAATGAAATTTCATTCTTACAAAATGGTCAATGAACTATGAAGTATGTTCCTCTAATTGTAGTGGGGGAGAGGGGCATAAAACTAGCAAATCATATTTCTAACAGGTCTCCAGATTTACTTTAGGTTCCTACTCTTCGAATATGAAGATTGAGCTTGTCATTAAGGTAAAATTGCATGCAAAACATACCTCATGAGCCATCAACCTCCGAACATTCTCAGCATAAAGTCTAGGGTCATCCTTTTCTTGCTGAGAAGGGTAGTAAACAGGTAACCAAGTTGCCTCCAAATAATTTACAAATTGACAGAGAAGGAGAATCACATGCCGAGCCTGCAAAAGGAATTGCATTTTCATCCTAGGAATAAGAACCAGTCTCATATAATTCATGACTTTATTTAACAGTATAACACTGATGACTATGAACAATTATTATAAATGTAACCAATCCACCATATAATTAGATGCATATCCCAACAAGAACTTTTGTGCAATCAGCGTATATTCATATATCAGAACAAATATTCAGGTATTGGATACTTAATTTTCCTTGCGGTAACGACTAACTTGGTGCCACAAAGTTCATCTAAGAAATTTATCATTTGTCTATTTTGTGGTCAAGAAACCAAGATCCCGACAAAGTAGTACAATTCTATAATCCGTATCTGTATTCTGTTACACTAACTGTCAGAACAGGAAAATTATAATGCAGTATTCATTTGCACAGAAGCAGGAAAACAATTAATACATGGCTGAATGCAAGAAAATGATAATTCTTAAAACCAAAACAAGCAACATAACATGTTTTAAGATGAACAAAAAAGACAATCATTGGTGTTAGGAGGGAGCATGAATATTAGCCTGTATCTGTAACAAAGCACAGTATTATGAAACTGAATCATTCACTGAAGATGGAGTACTACCTAGTGGCAGAGTGTCCTAAAATGACAAAGCACGTTTCAAATCACCAAATACTTACCCCCGATATAGAGTCCCATGCAGGACTTAATCTCTGGTACGGATATCTTAGTATCACAGGTTGCACTGGAGCTCCTGAGAGAAATGCGCCACTCTTGAATGGAAGGAGAAAATCACCATTTGTGGTTGTGCCCTCTACAAGGAAAAAGATAACAGATCAAAACTGTAGTAAACCATCAGAAGTTGATTTTTGCAAGAGAATCTAAGAAATAAATTAAAAGCTCTAGCTTAAAAGCTGGTCATCAAACTAGCTTTTAACCACTTTTTGGCTTATTTTGGTGTTTGGTCTTTAAGCCAAGTGCTTTTAAAAGCTAAAACAAACCAAAATATATTATATAAACACCTCTAACTTATGGCTCTTCAGTATAAAAGCTCTTTAAGTTTGACCAAGTGTTTTACTTTATTATCCCTTAACATTTTTACAACCCCAAAATATCCTTCAGCTTCTCTTTCAAATGTACACCGAATCATAATGTTATGAACGCTGATTCATTTCATTCTTTGAAGCAAAAAAAAAAACCCTCCAAAATCAAATTTTTGACAGAGAGTTCTTGAAATGCTGGACGTCAATCACAGATCAAGTCTATACAGGTAGAAACTTTTAAGCATATTAAAGAAGTCTCATATTACAACTATACCCAAGGTTTAGATATAATAGAAGACCAAAATATAATTTGACTAAAGAATGTTTGAATTCATTAAATAAGTCTAATAGATTCTTGATCTATCAACTCAATGAACAACTTCACATCATTCAAATTAGTAAAAGCTTTCACCAAAAAAAATTAGTGGAAGAAGATCATGTCCATGAGGAAAAGAATAAAGTCTGGTGAAGTACAAACAGCTAGAAAAATTTTAGGTATACTCATAACATTAAATAAATGCCAAAGATGTGATATCCCTCTCTATCTACCTCTCTTTCACTGTGCAAAAGAACCCATATCTACCATCACTCATCTATGAACTGATCAGTGTTAAGCAGAAAAATATTGGTAGAAGAAATGTGCAGTAAAATGTGAGACACAAGTCAGTCGGTTGGTGCACTAAAAGCAACATTGACCTGGAAAAAGCAGCATGATTGGTGCAGATTTGTTCTGGTGAGCTTCACGAATCCTTTCATTTACAACACCTGCAATTGTATAAGTTTAATCCCAAGGATGTGGCAAAAATTAAAGCTGCATTCCATATGAAAAGGAGGAGAGGGTAAAGGACAAGGGGAAAGCTGGAAAGAGGTAAAAAATATATGATCAAAGAATATCCTACTGTACATTCCAATACAAGAGAAAAGGCTATATTTTTGCCCTATTCAGCTTGCTTACTACCACTATAGAAAAGACACTGAAGATCAAATCCTTACTGCTTTTAGTCACCTATGTGTAAAGCCTAACACTGAAGTTAAATGCCATTAAGAAGAGGGTTCTACTACATCTATGGAAGTGTCATGGTGCAGAAGATTTTACCTTGAGGTTTCCGGACACACCAAATCTATATAGCAATAAACATTTCCATGACTCCAAAATAGTTTTTGTAAAAGAAATTCAACCGCCTTGATTGAAAAAGACTCCCTCTATCCCATTTTATCTAACTTCTTTTCACTAAGCCTGAAGTTTAAGATACTATTATTTTAACTTGTATACTATATAAGGAGTGATGGAATTAAGCCAATGGTTTAGAAGTTCACAAAGGAATTAACTAAATGGTTTAATAGGTAGTTTAATGAAATAAATATCAGTTAAAATGTAAAAAGTCACCAATTTGAATCCTCAAAACCAAGTAAAAATTGTGTCATTACTAACATGCTGTCAAACATCAAGAAATACAAAAGTGTCATACATATAATAGAAGGTGTAAAAAAGTTATCCTTCCCCCATCTTCTAAGACATGAAGGTTGCAAAAGCTTGCTTGATGTAAAGCGAAACTAAATTATCATTCTAAATTTCTGCATTCATTGTGTGACTTAGACAAATCAATAATGCAAAGTTCTATACAAGATTACTTTCTCTTATTTCCTCAAACAAACGAGCTATA